TGCGCCGCGTCCCTTCGCGCGGGAAGGCTCCTGGGGCGCGCGTCTGCAGTGCCGCCCGGACGTGCCGTGCCCAAAAGTAGAGTTACTCGTAGTATTTTCATCAGTCACCTCTAAGTTTGTGGGCTATTAATAGCGTTTGACACAGTTTTTTCTAGTCACGTGATGAATGGGTGATCTCTGGCTTCCATGGAGGTGACGAGTGCGTGCTCTAGGAACGGCGGAGCGCGGGTTTGGTTCAGACCCCTAGGTACACGATCGCCATCGGACGACTTTTTTCACAAATCTTTGAAACTACAGCTCTGGACTGAACAGTGTAATTGTGAGGGAGAGGGAGGAGAAGGGAAACCACCGAAGAAACATCTCGGTGTACTACTTCTAGTTTTGTAATAGAATTGCGATGTTTTTTGTTAATGAGTAGTCCATCAGAATTAAGTGCTTACCTAAATAGCGTGTGTGTGTGAGGTTTGGTGCTTGCAAATGATGAGTTCTGCTGGTTCTCCCCACTGACGTGCTGGAGATCTACAAAACTGGTAAATGAGGACAAATTCTTTGTTTGTTTGCTTTCCTCAGGCAAAATACATCTCCCAGTGCATTGATGAGATCAAGCAGGAGCTGAAGCAGGATAACATTGCAGTGAAAGCAAACGCAGTCTGCAAACTTACATATGTAAGTGCCTTGCTGGGATACGATGTAATTGCATCTTTATTTTTTTCTTTTTTGCTGACTAGGAGCTAGTCTTCGGTCTGAATGCCTGCTTTTCTTAGGCTGCAGTTTCTGAGCCTGTTGTAAGTGCAGGCTGCAGGTGAAAATGCCCCAGTGTGTCTGACGTCAGTCTGCGTATTCCCGTTCTGTTCATTGTGCTGGCACTGGTATCGGTACAGTTTTCTTTTATTGAGATAGGTGAGGAAGCTAATCTGATTTAAAACTAATCCAATTTAAAAAGTTGTTTTCAGCTGGATTCTTTCTTATCACACAGTTGCATGAGCACTTGAAATTGGTGTTTGTTTCTCTCACAGTCCTTTGTCGAGGAGGAGAGGAGGGAAATACTGTTAAAGAATTATTTTTGAAGAATTATTTCTGTTCTGGTTTTTATTTAAAAAAAAATCCAGGAAAAAAAACCCTCACAATGATGCTTATATAACTGCATATGTAGTACCTGGAATTAATGCAAACTATTTAAAACTTGCTTCTGGTGGAAATTCAAGACTTCTTTCGCTTACTGCAAGTGACATAGAATGTAACATTACTCATAAACTTGAGATGTCTTAAAGTGTTATTTTTGGACTCTTGTTACATCTTAAATTTTCTGAGGTATCTTTACCTATTTTCTTGAGTTTCTTATTTCAGAAGTTATCTTGTCTTCTCTGCTCACAGTTGCAGATGCTGGGTTATGACATCAGTTGGGCTGCTTTCAATATTATTGAAGTCATGAGTGCATCGAAGTTTACATTCAAAGTGAGTTCTCTGTGTAACTACAACTGTACTAGACAAGCTGTTTCATTACTGTATTTTAATGAATGCATTGGTACATCATCTTCTGGTTTGCTTTCTTCAATATGGAAAGGAAGTAGACCATATTTGTTTCTAGTATACGGACAATACTTGACCTGCTAGTATAGGCTTTTTCTGCCAAATGTTTGACAATAGCTGTCAAATACCTTTTGTGAAAAAACAGAGGTGTGTTTTTTTTTTTTTTTTTTAGATGACCACCTAAGATCCCTAGTAGCAGCCGTATTTAGCTTTATAATTTTTCTTGAAAGGTCTTGTTCATGCTCTGTGTTGCAGACCTTTTTCACCAAATGGGGCAGAATGTTACCTTGTAAGGAATAGTTTCCATTGGGCTTTAGCACCTGAAAGTCAGGATTCAAGGAGTGTTACTCTTGCTTTGTACTAAATGTAACACAGACAAAATGTATGTAGCATTGTCCATTTCTCCTACTGACAGTCCTACTTTATTTCTACATCTTCATGATCGTTGAACTTGTATGCTCTAACAAAGTAGAGGAGGTGAAGCTAGTTTAATATCCTTAAGATAGATGTATTGTCCCTGGAGGAGTTACTTGTCCGAGATTAGAAAAGGGGGTTTATATCAGGAAAGAATAGAGAACCCTGTCATGCCTTTTCTGTTATGCAAACCTCCTGTCTTAATTGTTCATCTTTTTAATATTGCTCATGAAGCTACCAGTTGTTGTTCATCTAAACATTGTCTGAACTTACTTTTAATTTTTTTTTCTCCTTGCCTTTTTACAGAGAATTGGTTACCTAGCTGCCTCTCAGTGCTTTCATGAAGGGACTGATGTAATTATGTTGACTACTAATCAGATCCGAAAGGTAAACTTTTGACTTCAGTTCTTAATTTTTTCTTGCACTGTCTCCCTACTTGTATCTTCAAATCTGTATGAAGTATTTGTCTTTTAAGAATCTAAAGGTGTTTAAGTAGAACTCTGTTTACTTAGTTTACAGTCTACTCTCATTCCACAAGCCGAAGGATTAATGAAATACTCCGGAGCTGTCCGTAGGCTTCCCTCGTGCTGTCTCGTAGCAGCTCTCTTTATTCATCACAGTGAATGGTGACAATAACCTTTGTTAATGTTGCTAGTCTCTTAGGCAGCCCTTATAAGAATGTAATGGGTAAGAAAAATGTCCCCATTCCTGAAGTAAAATGAACAGTCACCTGGCTCCACAAAATTTCTGTCTGCGAGGGCCTGGTTTTTTCTGGTAATGACAGATCAGGCTTTTGGCTTGTTTAGTATAATTGTGTATAAAACTGGTGAAGAGTGTATGTGAAGTTGTGTTCTGTATTAAATGTCCCAAAGTGTGTTGTATTCATTTTCATAGAGCTTTATGACTTGGATTTTTTCAGAGTTACTGGGTTGCAGGATTATTTTCCTGTTCTTCCTATTCTTCAGAATACAGATTTTTTTTTTTTTAAAGCTCTTAAGTTTAATTTTTTAAAGTATCACTGCTTTAAAACTTGACCGTTCCAGTACAAGATGTGCCTACATTTTTACCATTTAAGTAGGTAAAATGTCTTTTACTTGCCTAAAAAAGATCAGTGGAGCGTTATCCAGTATCTTTTCTAAAGAACTAGTGCTTTTCCCTTTATCTTCGAAACTGTTCTGCTCTGACAATTGCATATTTTTAATAATATCCATCCATTCTCTTTATTATGGAGATTGGTATACTGAATTTCAGTCACTTACGAGGCTATTCGTTCCTTTTTGTGCCTGAGTTTTTACTTAAAGGCGTAAATAAAGATGCTTTTTCATGTTTCATTGATCTAGCAATTTTGTATTTTAAGGGATTACCAGTTCTCAAAATACATTAAAGCCAGGATAAATTGCAAAGTTTTGTTGCTTCTTTAAGAAGCAGATTTGATTAATCTTGAAGTAGAATCTAATTTCTGACTACCTGCAAAAGGTTTTACAGTGAGATACAAATGACACAGAACTCAGAAGGCCTGGCTATGTTTAGCTCTCCTAAAGCAGCCTCCGGGTACCTGTCAATTTGGACAGTTAATTCCGGTAGTTCGTGTGGGAATGCTCTGTGCAGTTCACCTGGTATTTTTGTTTCCTAATTGCAGTTAAGGATTGATCCTCTGATGCTCTGTATTCAATGAGGTCTGGTTTTATAATCTGTACTTGAACATACTCAGATACGAATATTAGTATTGTTAAGAGTCTGAAGCTTAGGAATACCTGAAAGACTATGTAGGATGCTGACTACAAATAAGTCCAAGGAAACTTGACCAATAAAATGTATTCTACATGCTAGCTTGTGTTACGTCTTTATGGACTGAAAGTTACGGTACTGTCACAGCAGCTTTGGAGGAAAGTAATCTCATTTCTCTAATAGAGGGAGTAAGCTAGGACACGGTTAACCACTCGACAAGAGGGCCTGCTCCCAGTCAACTTGGTGACAGTTGGGCTTTGGCTTAGCAGGGTTCATATTTAATACCAGGTTTTTAGGACTTTAAACATGTTTGTGATCATGTCATGAGTTTTTAAAAATTATTTGCCATTCCTAAAACAACACCAAGGTATGATATCTCTAATTGCTTTTGTGTTGCAGTCACCTATCTATTGTTTAGATATGCCCATTATTAAACCCCAGGCTAGCTGTATTTTAGCAGGTGTTGGAGGACATTTGTGTTAATAGTTGATACAAATATTCCCATGAAGCTCTGTCTTATATATGTTGAGTGAATGAAATTGGTTTGAGAAAATTGTTTTTCCACGTCCTGTGTGATCTTAAATTTTTGAGCCCGTTTTTCCTTTTTTAGGATCTGAGTAGCCCTAACCAATATGATACTGGAGTTGCACTGACTGGCTTGTCCTGTTTTGTTACTCCAGATCTTGCCAGGGACTTGGCAAATGACATCATGACACTGGTGAGTTGATAAGATTGAAATAACTTTTCCCTGTAATTAAAGAACGTTAAACTGTTCGAATCTGGTAAATATCTGTTAAATTTAGAACTGTTACATGTGAAAACAGATGTTTTGCTCTTGTGGGGTTTTTTGGGGAACCTTTACAGACCTTAGTTAGTGCAAGAGGCTGTCGTGGCTCAGCCCCAGCAGCAGCTCAGCACCACGCAGCCGCTCGCTGCCCCTACCCCGGTGGGATGGGGGAGAGCATCAGAGGAGTAAGAGTGAGAAACACTCCTGGGGTGAGATAAGAACAGTTTAATAATTGAAATAAAGTAAAAGAGTAATGATAATAATAACAATATAATAATAATAATAACAACATACAAAGCAGGTGATGCACAGTGCAATTGCTCACCACCCGCTGACCGATACCCAGCCAGTTCCCAGCAGCGATCGCTGCTCCCCGGCCAACCCCCCCAGTTTCTATACTGCCCATGACGCCATATGGTATGGAATGGCCCCTGGGGCAGTTGGGATCAACTCTTCTGGCTGTGCCCCCTCCCAGTTTCTTGTGCCCCTGGCACAGCATGGGAAGCTGAAAAGTCCTTGACTAGCATGAGCAGTACTGAGCAACAACTAAACCATCAGCGTGTTATCAGCGTTATTTTCCTACTAAATCCAAAATGCAGCACTGTGCCTGCTACTGGGAAGAAAATTAACTCTATCCCAGCCGAAACCAGGACAGAGGCTTACCTTGAATATTTCTGTTAGTTTTGGTGATAAATGACAGTATTTTGCTCTCCCCTCAAAGCCTAGTTTTTGAAAAGTAGTTGAGTGTCCCAGAAAGAAATTTTGAGACAGTGGTTGTGGACATAAGGATCTTGAGAAGAACTCTGGAAACACAAATTTGCCAAGAGCCTGATTGCACTTGTTTCATTAACAGATGTCTCATACAAAGCCTTATATCAGGAAGAAGGCAGTGTTAATCATGTACAAAGTTTTTTTGAAATACCCAGAGTCCCTCCGTCCCGCATTTCCTCGCCTTAAAGAGAAACTTGAAGATCCAGATCCCGGTGAGTGGATTTTAGCAAATTGCTTCTGCTCCAAAACATCTAGGTATGCATGCTTTTAGAGCTTGCAGAGAGAAGAATACATGAAAAATGCTGTAGTCATCTTTTGGGTACTGATTCACCTGTTTAATAGGTAGATGAGCATATGAAAGTTTTGACAGATGTTGCCATATTAAAAACATATTCTTGAAAATGTCCAATTCTTTCTTCAAACCCAAAGCTATTGAAACTATATCAGTGGATTAAACCTTAATGGGACAAAGCTACTTAATGATTCCTGGTTTGTTGCTTACTTGGCTATTGAAAATATTTCAGTTGATTTCAGGGTTTGGGTTTTTTTGTTGTTGTTTCCTGTGCTCTTTTACAAAGCTGCAGCTATTGGCTTGCCGTGGATGTACTTAAAATAATTTCACATCACTTCATGTATTTTTTTTCTATTTTTTTTCAAATTTAAACTTTGAGTCCAGACTGCTGTTTGGGCCCTTCAGTACTGCGTCAGTGCTATTCAGCTGCAGCACAGGAAATTTGCAACTGCTCTGTATCACATTCACACTTTCACTCAGTCTTCCCGGAAGGTGCTGATCTTCCCTCACTGCACCAAAATGCCGTACGCTTGTTTCAAGAATTCTGTGTGCAGTGCAGTTCTGTGATCTCCAGTTGATTTGCGTGTGTGTTTAGAAGGAGAAATTTAATTGCGTGTGCTGGACTAAGTTGGTGAGGGCATGTAAGATGCGTCTTCCAGGGACAATGTTTTTAAAGAAAGCAAAACACCACCCCCATCATCTGCAAACAGAAGAAAAAAATACCTATTACGCTTTATGGAGAAAAGGACTGCTCTCTACTAGAAAACCCAGACTGTCTAGATTAAAAGATTCCAAATTGAGAACAATCAATTTAGAGGCTGAGCAATTAGAAGGGAATGAACTTGTCCAGTCGGACTGTTTAAGGATTCATTATTTTTGTGTTGTATTTAAACATGTCTAAATAATACATTTTAAAGAAGCAAAAGTCTTTGGAAACTTGATGGTGGGTAGGATTATCGATCACTATGCTGTCTGTGCCCCACAGACAAGCTATCCACAGTAAAGTGGGAAGGAGGCTGGCAGTGTCCTGTTCTTTCTAATACTGGGCCCAAAGCAGATACCCAGCTTGCTGATACATTAGAAAATAGCCAAAATGAAATAAAATCCTTTCTCAGTTTGTTTTTGCATTCTTGTGTTTAGTTCACTACCTCATGGTTGGTAATGAGGCTGAACCATTCCTCTTGGACGCACAAATCTGGATCTTTAGCTGCTTTTGTTCTGGGGGTTCTGCACCAGAAACTTCAATCACAATTAAGGCGTTGATGAGATTTCTGCTTTTCCCACTTCTTTTTCCCAGGTGTGCAGTCTGCTGCAGTAAATGTTATTTGTGAGCTGGCTCGACGCAATCCCAAAAACTACCTTTCCCTTGCTCCACTCTTTTTCAAGTTGATGACGTCATCAACCAATAATTGGGTTCTCATTAAAATTATAAAACTGGCAAGTATTCTGGATCTATGTTTACAGGATTGGGGTTCTCATTAAATTACCTTGGGTGCAAAAATAGATTTCTTGCTTGGAGGTATAGTTACCATTAAATCCAAATAAAAAGAAACCAGGAATATCTTCTAGTGTTTGCGAACATAACGAAAGAGAGGAAAAAAATATTTTAATGTAGCTTGGTTTAAATATAATGAGCTGCAATTTAAATCATGTTTTTATACTGTTTAAAAGCAGCTATTAAATCACTTTCTTCTCTGCACTTCTTTTTTAATAGTTTGGTGCTCTTACTCCATTAGAACCTAGGCTTGGAAAGAAACTGATTGAGCCTCTGACCAACCTCATCCATAGGTATGTATGACAAATGTCACCTTGTCTTTTGGGGTTGGTGAAGTGCCCGTTGGGTAGGTCAGTAGCTAGGCCTGTGGATGCATTTCTGAACTTCTTCTTGAGTCTCGATATATTGGCTTCATGTATCAAAAGATGATCACATCAGGACCGTTTCTGAAAAACCTGAGTGAGATAAAGTACCTTAAAGGAAAGTCTTTGGGTGTCTGACTGTCAGTGTGAATTTCTCCAAAGCATGCGTGAAAATTGGAGCAATTTGCTTTCCTTTCACTTTGTTTTAAGCCAGAGATGACTATGCAGAATATATAAAAACTTTGGCTTAAAAAGGGCTCAGCTGTATATTTGCCTCTTTTGTTCACCTCCACACATTGGTTCTTGACTTTTTTGGGAGTGCCTTTACCCACGAAAGCAGCATGACAAGGAGTATATTAAAGTTCTCTCTCATGCCTTTGTCAGCCCAGACGGTTTTGGAAAGGTTCCCTTAATATATGTCCAAAATATAGATTAGATAAATTTGAAGATACTTCCTTGTCCCTTGTTAAAGCTGGTTTGTAATGTTGTTTTGGATCAAATTCTCAACTGAAATCGGAAAGTAGATGTCTTGGAGGGAATACATGTATTTTCCCAGTTATGAAAAAGAAGTGTGATCTTATGCATGAGTTGATAAATTAAAAGGTTTGTTTCTCTTCATGTGGCAGAGCAAGAAGATAGATGGGAGTGAGCGAATTTTAAATGGGTATCCGTGTAGCCATGAGAGCAGCTCTAGCCAAACAATTTCTGTCCATCTTCCTAGTATACCTTTAAGGCTGGTTCAGAGCAGACCACCCAGCAGCCTTGCATCCAAATAATCAAAGAGGGGTTTTGCAGCCCTGAGAGATAGATACAAATTCACCAGAAAAAGTACTTCACCAGAAAAAGCAGGAAGATGAACAGTACGTCTTCAATCCTGCTTCTACCTCCTCTCCAACTCCCGCATTAGTCACTCATGTTATTATTTGTGAGGACTTAATCCTGTTCGCTTTGATCTCCATTCAGTCATTTTGGATCTCATATCACTTACGCGTAAGGCAAACCACCCTGCCACACACCACGAAGTGCACGGGGAGCAAAAAGTGACTGTCCTGGTTCAGAGCGTACAGAGTCACGTATGCGGGGTGCTGAGTGACCTTCGCCGTGTCGCTCCTGACGGCTGCCCCCAGAGTTGTTTGCTCATTACCTTTGCAGACCTTGCTTCTGGAGTCTGCTCCTTTGTTACTTCTGAGGTTTTGCTGTGTTTCCCTCTTGTGTAGGTCAGGATTTGTAAGTACCTTTGAAATCCTCAGAATTGCACCGTATGTGCGTTCAACTGGCAAAAGTTGTCTTGAATTTTAAGTTTTGGGGGGAATCGGACATTGAAAATGGGTTGCTCGCTTCCAGGCATGAGCAAGTGTGTACCTGCCAGAAGAGTCTGCTGTTTGGGCATGGCTCATTCGCTTTGGAGCGAGACAGACTTGAGGTTCTCCATCTGCCTGCCTTACCGTGAATTTTGACCTTGGGCAGAGGATTTGATTTGATCTTTGGACAAGATTGCTTCGGTGCTTTGTAACTGGTACTGAGGTTTTGAGTAACCGCTTCCTTCCTCGTTCCTCGCGTTACAGTGCTGTTACTTGCTGCTTCTCAGAGAAGATTTTTTTTTTTAAAACATTTGTAGCCCTTCCCCCAACAGTTTTTGAGTGAGAATCATTTCATCTAGTTTGAAGGTATATGGAGCAGAATACTGGCAATTTCTCGTGTAATTAAAGGTGTTAACTAGCTCCAAGATATTGCTGACAACTCTTCAAAATGTGCTGGGTTTATTCCTTATTTAAAATACTTGATTTCTGTTTCAGCACCTCAGCCATGTCTCTCTTATATGAATGTGTGAACACAGTAATAGCAGGTGAGAACTGAAATTTGTAACCTAGAAAAAAACATTATGAACTTTGTCATCAATTAACACCATCTGTAAACCTTTTTTTAACTTAATGTATTTTATAACTGAAATAAGTTGCCTGGCAGACTTTTGAGTTGTGTTACTGTGTAACTGTAACTGAAATCCTTTGTTGTCAGTCGATGAGGCTAAGTTACTACAGCTATGTCGTATTTGCTAAAGGCTGAAACGAAGTACAAATGATGAGTGATTATTTATATGCAAGCTCCTAAGTGTTGCTAGAACTACAAAATATCCCAGCAGCAATAGAGTTAAAAAAACTCTGGTACCCCATGGAAACATTGGCAAAGTTTTCTTATGTGATGAAGGAGCAGGCTTATTTTTTAATTCTACAATTTCACGGCTTAAAAACTTGGTATAATTCCTTAAAGGAGGTAATTGGAATAATTGATTTACAGTTTCAATTTCTGGGGAAGGGATGTGAACTCCGGAATGGGGATGGAGAGAGAAACAAAGGCAAAAAGGGATAACACAGTATTCCAGCTCAGACTTGGCACTTTTCCTAGCCTAGCATGGAAGTAGAGGGTTATCGACAGCCACGGTTTGGCCATAAGCCTGTCTCTTGTGGGCGGTTTGGATAATGATGCAGGAACTTGCTGTACTGGGTCAGTTCAAAGAGGAAC